TCTCTTCTTCTTCTTCTTCTTCTTCTTTCTCTCTCTCTCTCTCTCTCTCTCTCTCTCTCTCTCTCTCTCTCTCTCTCTCTCTCTCTCTCTCTCTTTCTTTCTCTCCTCCCCCCTCCCCCTGTTATCTGTTCCGTCTCTTGCTCACTGAACCTTCTAATGTACTAACGCCTCTTCATGATATCTCATATTAAATCTAAGCTCCGTCTATCTCTATGTTATTCGCAGAGCCACCGACGGAGCCCTCTCAGTCTGTGCCCATCGGCTGGGACGACCCGACCGGCAGGTTCGAGCGCGAGCGCATGGCCGAGCAGCTAGCGCGCGCCTGCACCCCGACCCAGGAGGAGGAGGGTGACGACAACGACGCCACGCGGGGAGAGGGGGAGGGTGACGACGACGATGGCGACGTCACGCGGGGAGAGGGGGAGGATGCCCCCGACCGGGAGGAGGCGGGAGAGGGAGATACCATCGCGCAGGAGGAGGGTGACGACGACGCCGCCACGCGGGGAGAGGGGGAGGATGCCCCCGACCGGGAGGAGGCGGGAGAGGGAGATACCATCTCGCAGGAGGAGGGTGACAACGACGTCGCCACGCAGGTCGAACAGGCGCTCGCGCAGGGAGAGGAAGGTTGCCTAGAGGTAGGCATGTTGGTTTTGTTGCTGGTAATGAGAGCGTGGTGATGAGTGGGAAGCAGGTGGGGGTGGGGGGGGGATGACTGATGGGGTGACAGGAAGACCCAGTGGGAAAGGGAGAAAACCCCTCCCCAAGGGAGAAAAACCCCTCCCCAAGGGAGAAAAACCTCTCCCCAGGGGAGAAAAACCAGGCGATTGGTTTAGGACCGAAGGGTTGGAAGGACCAAGGGGGCCAGGCAGGAAGAGGAATGGCGATGAGGAAAGAATCGAGAAGGTGAGGGGGAAGACTGAGGGCAGAGCAGAGCAGCCACGTGTGGGAAGTTGGTGGGAAGGAGGAGCGTAGTGGAGGTGAAGTGAAATGACAGGTGAGGGTTATCGGTTTGAGTTCTTACACTCAAGGTTGCTTGCAGTGTTTGGTTTAATGTTTCTCTTCCCTCTTTCTCGTTGTCTTTGTAAGTGATCAGTGAAATTCACGAGGTAATTTAAATTCAATTATCTCATTGCTTTTACAGCAGGTAGATGACGATGATAACGACGTGATGCCAACACCAACAGCTCCATCTATAGGTATATATATATATGTTCGTTAAAACATGGTTGCATGGATGAATTAATGGATATAGCATATCATTTATCTTTTCATCTTTCACCTAAACACCCCTCCATTTTCCTGTTCTTCCAGCTTTTCCTTTTACAAAGGCCAGCACTCACTCGGTTGAGATAGAGCCGTTCGATGAGGTTGCATCGCCATCTAGCAGGAGCAAAAAGAAGTTCCTCTTCTCAGGACTTAGTACAGCGGTAAGAACGAGCAAAACCATATTACGGCTGCACTACTTTACGTGGTAGTAGTTATTGTAGCATTACTCTGCATGGCACTACTTTATGTAGAACAACTGTACATGTCCCTACTTCACACGCCATTACCTTACAAGGGACTATGTTACGTGGCACTACCTTACACAGGACTATGTTATGTTGCACTACCTTACACAGGACTCTGTTACGTGGCACTACCTTACAAGGGACTATGGTACGTGGCACTACCTTACAAGGGACTATGTTATGTGGCACTACCTTACACAGGACTATGTTATGCTTAACGCTGCGTTGGTTTGGTTTTGTAGGAGAGAGATGACTATGGCGGACTGGTGGAGCAGCTAGGTGGCACTGTGTCTGACTCACAGAACTTCGATGCATCTTGCACCCATCTAGTTGTCGGTTAGTAGACCACGCGTGCGTGCATGCGTGAGTGCGTGCATGCGTGCGTGCGTGAGTGTGTGCGTGCGTGCGTGCGTGCGTGCGTGCGTGTGGGTGCGTGCGTGCGTGCGTGCGTGCGTGCGTGCGTGCGTGCGTGAGTGTGTACGTGCATGCGTGAGGTGCGTGTGCATGTGCAAGAGCAACTTGGAGCATGCATTTCAGCTTACACTTGTTCTGTGTGTATGCGTGGTTCCATGTTTGCAAATGCCTATAGGTGAAATTGTATAATATGTGTGCTTAGTACATTTGCGTACGTGCATGCGTGCACGCGTGTGTGTATGTGTGCGTGTGTGTATATATACGTATGTTAGGCCATCTCATCACATCGATCATGTCATATGCTTCCATTGCTCTGTTTCTTAGCAGCTCAAGCTTTTATGCGAGTGTCAAAATTGGATGCAATCACAGGAAAGCGAAATCTATGCGATTATAGGTGATTGCAGTAGGCTCGTGTTCCACTGCAGCGTGCGATACATAGTTTCAATGAAAGTGTCAATGACACTGTAGCTCACCACAAAAACGGACACAAATGAGTGAGTAAGAAGAAGTCAGTTTTAATTGAGCAACCATCGACGTACATTATAGAAACGATTGCCATCTGTATATCGCAATAATAATTTATAAACCAAAAATAAATCACAATTTGTGACAGTAGATGGCGCTATACCTGCTTTGTAGCAACGGCGTTTGAAATAAATAGGTTATGCTGCGTTTCGACATGTTTTGTAAAACTTTACCCTAATATAGACGTTTTATCGGCAAGGTAGAGAGGAAATACCAATTTTGCATT